TGTGGTTTTCCAGAGCTTTTTAAAAGCCCCTGCTGCATTCATTGTTGCTGGAAATTGGTTCCAGTTAGGCTTCATCAGGGAGCAGTGTGATGGCAGCCTACACATGAAATTGGGCTGGTCTGTATTGAGCTGAGTGTGAGTGTAAGTGTGAACCACATGCCGAGGGCTCAGTATTTTTAAAGAAAGGGTAAACGAGCACTAAAAAAATATTGACTACATATTAAATTGCTGTTTTAGGTATATTATACTAAATAAAATATCTACTAAAATTAATTTTACCTGTTTCTTTTTTTTTTTTTTTTTTTTTTTTTTTTTTTGGTTTTTCGAGACAGGGTTTCTCTGTGTAGCTTTGCGCCTTTCCTGGAACTCACTTGGTAGTCCAGGCTGGCCTCGAACTCACAGAGATCCTCCTGGCTCTGCCTCCCGAGTGCTGGGATTAAAGGTGTGCGCCACCACCGCCCGGCTTTACCTGTTTCTTTTTACTTTAAAAAATGTGGCTATTAAAAAATATTTATGCCAGTGGCTTGCACTGTATTTGATTGTACCCCATCCTGGACAGTGGAATGCTAGCAAGGCAGTGTCTTTCTTGGGTGCGCTCATCTGCCCTTTCCTAGCACAGAGCCACAGACACAGTTGGCACTTAGGAAATAGTTGGTAAGGGGCCAACCCCAGCTCGTAACTTAGAGCACTGAAGTCTTAGGAATGAGTGGAACCTCTATTGAGAATGCTGGCTTTTGAAAAAGAGACAACCAAGGAGTAAAGGGCAAAATTCTTGCCTCTGAGGGAAAATGCTGAAATCAAGCAGCTCAGGATCGCTGTTGCACAGCTTACCTACCCTCAGGAGAGGGAGGTGGCCATGGCTCTTGAGCCAGGCCCAAGAGGAACCGATCCTGTATGTGTGATGTTGAGATAGAGCGGTCAGAAAGGTTCTGGAAGCTTATTTGTACTGGCTGTGCCTCTCCTCATGACCCAGTTTAGGCGGCACCCAGCTGGAAGCCTGAGGCTGCTACTGGGCCACCTGATTATATACAGTGTTTCATGCCTTAGAAGTCTTTTTACCAAGTTTTTGTTGTTATTGTTGTTAATGACTTAGCAAATACCACTTTAATTTAACCAAGGTCTTATGTGACTTCTATCTGTGGGTACATTTAAGTCCCTCAGAACTGTGTCACTGAGAGTTGCATAATCAAGGTAGATGGGCACACTCTCCAGTGTGCCACTTCAGAAGGGATCAGCTTGTCTCTGCAAGTGTTTATTGAGAGCTAGCTGGCACCCTAGGCATCCTGTTCCCTGCTAATGCAACAGAACTGTTAACTACTTCTGGTCCCCAGAGATGTGGTGGATTAAAGTGCTGCCCAAGGAAAGTGCTTTTTCAGTGGATTATTAGAGGTGAGGATGAAACTCCTCCCCTGACCTTTAAAGAAGTAGGTCCTAAAGGGACAAGACCACTGTTGTTTCTAGTCTGCTGCTCTTGATGGTGGCAGCACTTAGCTTCGTCCTGTTAATTGTGGCCCCACCACCTTTTCTCTCCATCCCCAAATCCCCTCTTGTGGAGAACTCTGGAGCTCATGCTTTGACTTGGCTGCGGCAGGCTTGCACTAATCACAATCGCAGCGGGGCTTGTTTTATGAGCCTGAAAGATTTCTGTTCCCAGGAGGCTGAAGTTCCTCACCTGCTGGGGAGCCACAGAGTTCTGTTTGAAGCCTGGTTCCTTGAGGATGAAGCTACCTCCCTCTCCCTTCCCACATAAAAGCATCTTGAGGTCTCTCGCTACTGGCCTGTGGGGACTCCCTCCCCCGTTTAAGGGTAAGAACAATAATGACGATACTGAGTTTTTATACTTAAGGAAATTGGGTGTGTCCCAGTGAAGAATAGCAGGTGGTACTCTACAAACGGAACTGTCGAATTTTTCTGAGCACCATCATCTGCTCAGCTCACGGAATCACCTGGTGTGTAGAACCAGCACAATTCACATGGACAGAGAATGACTCTGCACTCCTGTCGCGGTGCAGCTCAGTGGCAGTCACACGGCAAGATGTGTGATGTGCATGATGAAAGTGTGTCTGTTATTACCAGACACCTTAGCAGGGTGTCGGTGAGCACAGCGTCTTCTTGTGTGGTAGTAACAACCCACATTGCACTATTACGCTATCAGTAGGTGCAGGTGTCATCGGAGAAGAAAAATTCACGAAGGAGCCGATCTCAGTGTCTTGTTGGGGAAGGCAGAATCAAGAGGATTGCCTCAGTGGCCATTTTCTTTGCTTGGCACTGTTGTCCTTTAGAGTGTTTTCCCTTCTAAAGCAGCTTTTTAAAGTGCACCAGGAAAAGGGTTTTAACCCTCATTTGCATTTTAGGAAGCGAAGGCTTAGGGAGGCAGACCATATGCCCAAAGTTGCACTAGTGGCAGGCTGAGCTCGGTGGTGGGAGAGGGCCATTTGGTGTCTGCCATGTTGTTTCTCTTCAGTTTGGAAGCTCCTTTTGGTAGTGTCTGCTTTATTCTAACTTAGAAGGACACAACAGCGAGGGTGGGGGGGCTTCTGTGCCCTGTGTTAGCGAAGGAGTCCGTTAGGAATCAGGAAGCACCAGTTCTGTGGGGTTAAAGGCTCTACTACCTTTTATAGTACTGTACTTCTGGTACACAAAATACAAATAAAATGTTTATTGTTGAAAACTATTTGGGGCTGGAGAGAGGGGAGGCTTAGCTGTTACAAGCATATACTGCTCTTGGAGACGACCTAGTTCAGTCCCTAGCACCCGCTCAGGCAGCTCACAACCTCCTTCAGCTCCAGCTTCTGGGGCTCCTACTCTCTTCCAACCTGTGGGCACTTGCACTCATGTGCACAAACATACATTCAAACACGTAATTAAAAACTAATGAAATATTAAAATGTACGGGTGTGTGTGAGTGTGCTTAGAGGAGTCCTGTTCTGTCACTCTTCCTATTTCTCTGGGTCAAGGACTCTCACTGGTCCTGGAGTTAGGCTGGCAGTGATCCTCTTGTCTGCTCGGTTACAGGTGCCTATACAGCAATGCCCAGCTGTTTCTCATGTGTGCTGGGATCTGAACTCAGATCTCCATGCGTGTACAGCAAGTGAGTCATCTCTTCGGCCCTAAATTTTCTTTTGAATTGACAACTCTGTTTATAGGGCATAATGTATTTTGGTATATTGAAGGGAGCAGGCAAAAGCACCTTGGCCTAAGTACTGCCATTTTGACTTCAGACTTCACTCCGTAGGGTGAAATAAAGTTCAAGTTCTCAAGGCCTAGGGGAGCTGAGAACTCTCCAATGGCTGAGCAACCTCCTCCCTAAACCATAGAAATAGTCGTTATGTATCTTTAGTTCTTTAGAAGCATCGTGGCTATTCCCAACAACAGAAGGAACAAATTAATCTGATTGGTTGGATTGAAAGGCTTGCATTGTATATTGATTGACAATGATGGGACATTCAGGGAAGCCTCTAATCTCTAAATCCTGATTGGTGAAAATTGTAACTATAACTTGGCAGCAAATGTTTGTGAATTTTGTGTTTATAAACCCACTTCTGCTCCTGCTTGGGGCTGTCAGGAGAAACAAGGCTCCCAAGTCCTTGTCCTGCAGCCCTGATCCATCAGTGACCCGCTTATGTGGTGAATTATTAAAATCTTTGGAACCCATAAGTGTTGTCTTTCTCCTTCCTTATGGCATAAAGGGCTAGGTGCAACAATGTTTGCGATATAGAATGCACAGATCTATCTATCACTGTGTACTTTTTGTGGAGAAAATTTAAAGTATTTGAAGGATGCAGGATGTTAGTGTGTGTTGCATGTGCCATTCTGCTTGCCAAATGACTAAAGCTAATTCTTCCAACCATTCCTAACCATTCTTACAGTCACCACTTCTGAGTTCTTTCCTATAAATGAAATCATGTGGCATTTGATGCAGCAGAGATGTCTTTCCGGTTGACCAGTTGTGGTACATGCCCACAGTCATATTGCTAGTGATAGCCTTTCTTCCCCTGGCTGAGTGGTACTCCGGAGAGCACACCCCACATTTCTCCCATCTGCTGCCGGGCACCTTGCTCCTGTCTCGTTGTGAGTAGTGCTACGCTGAGCATCTCAGTGCAGGAACCTCTCTGCAGTACTGCCTTCAGTTCCTTTGGAGACTGCTGGGTCATATGGTGGCCGGTCTAGTCTCAGTTTTCTGAGGAGACTCCACACTCTTTTCCATAATGGCCATGTTAACTCACATGCCCACCAGCAGGGCACTCTCAGGGTTTCCTGTTCTCCACACCTCCTTAGCTGTCCTAACAGACTATACCCCATGGTTTCATTTGTGTTTCCTGATTAATAACTTTGAGACTTTTCCTGCTCCTTTATCTCTTAGCCACTTCTGTATGTTCTCTTGAGTGGCCAACCCTTACCAGGCCTATGGCCATCTGTTCTCCTGTGTAGTAGAATCTGAAGTACAGTAGACTTGGAAGTTATTGATATATCATTCTCTTTCTGAACTTGATAGAAGATGTGTGCTGAGGGGTGGAAGTTGGGGATTGTATCTTGCAAGGCATGTGAGCCTGACTCAGTATCCCCATGTCAAGGTGGCCTTTCCCCTTGTGATTTCTATATACACCGCGAATCTTGTGAAGTGGTACAACCTCATTTAAAAAAAAAAAAAAGCCCATTGGTCATAGTGTATTTGTAAAACCATTAAGGATCTGAAACTTCATAGAGCTAGCCTCACTGTTCTGTGGAAAAGGTAAGCCATGGCACTTTGCTATCAGAATCCTTGGATGCTTCTAGAATGCTTGATGTCTATTCCCCACTCCCCCCACACTTCTGAGACAGGGTTTCTCTGTGTAGCCTTGGCTGACCTGGAACTCATTCTGTACACCAAGCTGGCCTCGAACTCAGAGATCTGCCTGCCTCTGCCTCCTGAATGCTATGATTTAATTTGTGTGCCACCATGCCTGGCTGCCTGATTCTTCTTCTGTTCTAATGTCCTATGTTTCTTTTCTTTTTCTCAGCCCAACAGGGGCACAAAACGACCCCGGGATGATGAAGAGGAGGAACTGAAGACACGTCGCAAGCAGACTGGTCCTCGAGAACGTGGCCGTTATCGTGAGGAGGAGGCTACAGCAGCTGAAGAAACAGATGATGATAAAAAAAGGCTGCTGCAGATTATTGACAGGGATGGCGAGGAAGAAGAGGAAGAGGTAGTGAGCCAGAGCTGGGCAGGAGCCAGCAGAGTGACCCTGACACACCATCTGTGGCTTAACTGGGGACAGGATATTACCCTGAATCTTCTCTGTAAAATGGGGTTAAGAAAAACTGCGTTAGAGTGTTGAGGCAAAGGTTGGGTGGGATAGTAGAGTCTGGAAAAGGATTTACAGAATAAGGAACGTCGTGGGAACAAAGAGGAAGGATGGCTGGTGTTGACAGGAGGAAGCTGGCGAGAGCTTCCTGACCTGTCATTCTGAGGACATGTAGAAGACCCATCATTTTAAAATATAGTCCATAATCCAAAAGAAGTGTCAAATCCTGTCAATCACACAGGTAGAGTAGGGCTTTTAAGAATGAAGTTCAAAGTACTACTAGATTAGCTATTTGGGTCTTGTTGAGGCATGGTGGCTCATGCCTGTAGTCCTAGCTCTCAGAAGCTGAGGTAAGAGGATCACTTGAGCCCAAGAGTTCAAGACCAGCCCTGGCAACATATATAGCAAGACCTTTCTCAGAAAAACAAAGCAACAGTCAATCCTACAACAGTCGAAGGAAGGCTGTTGTACTCAGTCTTGCCCTGTGCCTTTGAATAATCTCCTTTATGCCTCATGTGCCTGGGTTCTTCCCATTAGGTCTAGGTCAGGTGTTTTCTCCTCCAAGAAGCCTGTCCCATCTCCAAGGTGGCCCTGCAGGCCATTTTCAAATTCTCTTCTCACTTGATTCTGTATATAGTCTTCACAGCATGAGTCGTGGTTTGCAATCCTTATTTATCTTACATTTACTTTCCTCCCTTGGCCTCCCATGAAAATGGCCTGGCTCTGTTTTGTTCACAGCTATGTCTCTGGCACTTGGAGCAACATCTAGCTCTTCATAGGCCCTAATAAGTATTTATTGAATGAGTAAATGAATGGAGCAGAGAAGCACAGAAGTAAAATATCAGCGATTAAAACACAATGACCTGACCTTGTGTCTTTTTAAATCCTTAAGTGGTAACGTATATGTGCTTTCACGCTGGCATTTTGTTCAATGTGAATTATGGAAATGGATTCTGAAGAGCCAGCTGTTTTCTAGTTCCCTCAAAGATGGGATGCTAAGTTTGGCTTTTAAAAATGAGGCAGGAGCATGAATCTGAGAAGAAGAAAAAACTTAATTTGTATTCCAAACGGGTCTTTTCTATGTTACGACAATAGCCCCTTCTTCCCCAGGGTGTAGACCAGTGTTGTCTGAGGTTCTGCCCCTAAAATATAGTGGCGTTTGAGGAGTCGATGGGGGAGAGTCATGAGTTCTCAATTGCCTCTCAGAAGGCAGCAGCCTCGAAGGGCTCACACGGTGTGTGGAGCTGACGCTCCCTCTTCCCCCTCTGGCTTCTGCTCAGTCTGTTCACCCTGTAGTTAATTGGAAGGTAGGATTCCTGTGTAGACGATTTGGGGGGACTGGGACAGTGGCTGTCATAGGTAAGTAGTTTCTAGTCTGGGAGACAGAAATGTAATGGGGGAACAGCCTTTCTGTTAAGGGACAGGGACAAAGAGACCACTTTGTAAAACTGACACACAAAAGGCTGAAAATCCAGGAGTTATTTTCTCGCTGCTACCAAAGTCCCGTCTGATGGAAAACAAGTGGTGCTTGCCCTGTGGTCACGTGGCCTTGTAAAATATTATTGTCCTTTTTGTGCTACATCACCAGCATTCATCTTTCTGAAATCTCCCGCTGGTTTCTGACGTTGAGCTATTGGAGATACTGCTGAGGCTGATGACTAAGACTGATAATTCGGTTCCCTGGTATTGGAGAGGAATTGGAGGACGGAGGCCAAACCCTGGAGAGGCTGGGATGCTGGAAATCCCACAAGAACTGCGCTCCCATGAATATAGTTCCCCCAGAGTGGTCAAAATGTTAGTGAGGGGAAAAAAAGCAGCGCCTGTGAGGGAGGCTGGAAAGTGAATTAGCCGTTCCCTAGACAGGGTTCCATTGCGTAAACCCTCTTGGTATGCGGGGTATGTTATGTCTCTTGCTATTAAGAACAGCATCATTATTCATTACTGGAGTTCACCAAACAACTTTATGTACACAGTTTGTTCAGGTCATCTCTGTGACCTTGAAAGATCCAGCAAACATTTTCATTCCAGTCCGCCCTCCCTCTACTCCGCAGATCTTCACTGGGTGCCTGTGATGAGCTAAAGAATCAGGTACTAAAGAATCAGCAGCAAGCAAGGAGGCATGGGCCATCTCCAGGGTGCTGTCTGCCCTGTTGTTGCTTTTTAATTAAAACAAATCTATTTTCTTCATACAGGTGTTTTGTCTCTAGTATAGGTACATATATGGTGCCCTCAGAGGCCAGAAGAGGGCGTTGCATCCCCTGGAACTGGAGTTACAGACAGTTGTGAGCTGCCATGTAGGTGCTGGGAATCAAACCTGGGTCCTCTGGAAGAGCAGCCTGTGATCTGAACTGTGGAGCAGCCTCTCCAGCCACAGTGTCTGCCCTGATTTGAAGTTGGAGCAATTAGCTGGGCCACATCCTTCCAGACTTTCCTTCTGTAGGCCACGTGAAGGGTTAGGGATCTTTTTTTTTTTTTTTTTTTTTTTTTTTTTTTTTTTTTGGTTTTTCGAGACAGGGTTTCTCTGTGTAGCTTTGCGCCTTTCCTGGAACTCGCTTTGGAGACCAGGCTGGCCTCGAACTCACAGAGATCCGCCTGGCTCTGCCTCCCGAGTGCTGGGATTAAAGGCGTGAGCCACCACCGCCCGGCTTTTTTTTTTTTTTTTTTTTTTTTTTTTTTTTTTGGTTTTTCGATACAGGGTTTCTCTGTGTAGCTTTGCGTCTTTTCCTGGAACTCGCTTGGTAGCCCAGGCTGGCCTCGAACTCACAGAGATCCGCCTGGCTCTGCCTCCCGAGTGCTGGGATTAAAGGCGTGCGCCACCACCGCCCGGCCGGGATCTTATTCTAGACACCAAGGGGATGAATTTAGGAAAGACTAATGAGGAGGTGTGAGGTAGACCTGCCAAGGCCTTGAGGAAGTTCTTAGTGAATTTTTGTCGCTATGCAGTTGGTATGGAGGGAGTCGAGGCTCTGAGTCCTAACCAAGCCAGACACTGACTTTGGTTTTTACCATGTTGGGAAAGCCTTCTTGAACTGTAGACCTGGGAGGGGTGGGAGCCCAGCAGAGTGCTTCCAGATCCTGAGGTTGATAAAATCTAAGAAATGTATCATGCTCAAAATGAATGTATAGGTTTCTCCCACTTAAAACCCAATATAGGAAGAACATTGAGATTTCATAATAAAATAATAGCTAGTATTTCTGAGTCCTTACAGAATTATAGGATGATTCAGTGCTTTCCAAAAGGATCTATTTCAAGTTCTCCTAAAAGCAGTTTCTTTATTGCTTTTAGGTGTGAGTTATGACCATTACTATAGAGCGGAGAAGCTGGAAGTTGGGAAAGTGTTAGAGAGGCAGGGTGCCTTGCTACATTAATTTAAACTGGAACGTGAACTGAAGAGACAACATTTCTGAAATTTCTGCATAGGTTGTATGTGTGGGGAAGATAAGTGATTCAGAAGTTAAAAAAAGATTTATGTGTGTGTGCTTGCGTGTGTGTAGGTATAGGTGTTGGTGGAGGCCAGTAAATGGTATCAGATGCCCTGAAGCTAAAATTGCAGGTGGTTGTGTGCCACATGGTGTGGGTGCTGGGAACTGAACTCAGGATCTCTGAAGAATAGGAACTCTTAACCTCTGAGCCTTTACTCATACCCCTCAATATATAATACTCAATTCATTTACTTTTTAAGGTATCTCTGCGGCGTAAGAAGCAAGAGAACTCTGTGGTTCTAGTTTTCTAATGCTTCCTCTGAGCAAGGTTACTAAAAATGCTTTATTGTTTATATTTAATATTTATTCATTTATTTTGAGGCAGGGTCTCCCTAGGTAGCTCTGACCTAGAACTGATTATGTAGACCAGGGCTGGCCTTAGACTTGTGGCAATTCCACTGCCTTTACCTGAGTGTTGGGATTATAGGCATGTGATATCATGTCCAATTATTAACTGGCTGGCCTGTCTGCCTGTCTCTCTCCCTCCCTCCCTCCCTCTTTTATCTTACCATGTCCATGTAGCCAGGGCACCCTCAAACTCATGAGCCTCTTGCCTTAGTGCCACATCTGGCTCAAAGTTAACTAATCCTTGATGCCACACTAGCATTCCAAAGTACCTGTCTGACCGTCCCTCAGTAGCTAAGGAGGACCAGGCACAGAAACGTGAGAATGGGAAGCGGTGTGTGTAGCTCCCCAACTGCCATCCGCCCCTTATGGGCTGTGCAGAAACAGGCACTAGAGCAGCCTTGGCCTATAGACAGGTTTGTGACCTCTGGTGTGAGGAAGAGACTAGAGGTCCCTGGCACTAACTTGGGTTTGATCTTAAGCAAATTCTTCTTAGTTTCTGATTCTTTCTTGCCTGTGCATCAAAGGGACAAGATAAATGGTGACTAAAAGTACCCAGCATCATGGCTTACTCTACATCCACGGTGTGCCTGAGAAACCTTTGCTGGATGAGTTTGTAACTGCCTGAGACAGAGCTTCCTGGTGTAGAGGCAGGATATAGATGTGACATCCAGGATGATTCCCCTCACCACCATTCTGGTTGGGGAGGAAAAGCATGTACCCATGGCAGCAGGTGGACAGAAGAGCCATAGTGAGAGTGATTGGGACTGTGACATCCATGAACACTGAAGCTGTTGTCCTTGTTCCAGGAGGAGCCACTGGATGAAAGCTCAGTGAAGAAGATGATCCTCACATTTGAAAAGCGATCATACAAAAACCAGGAGCTGAGGATCAAGTTTCCTGACAATCCGGAGAAGTAAGGCCCCACTTTGCTGACACCTCTTCTCCTCCGTGGTGGCCTGTTTTCACATTTTTGAATTTGTTGTTTGCTTTGTTAGCTTTTTGTGACTTGATCAGGATCCCAGTGTGGCCCACATGTTTGGGAAGTCCCTGGAAGGACACACAGGACTTGAGTCACTGATGCTAAGGGCTGTGGTTTGTGATGGCGGGAGTCCACAAAGGTATTGGCTAGGAGAAATGTGTATCTACAGTCTAGAGAGATCTGTGTCCAGGCTTCCTGTTGCCCTCCACTGGGGGAGGGCAGACAGACAGCGCTGCATCTTCCGGCAGTGGACTGCACTGGTGTGTTTATATCCTGGGAGGCTGCCTTGAGGACTGGGCAGGTCTGTATTCTCTGACAGCCAGAACCACCACAATTCCAGACTTCCAGAAAACAAGCAGCTGTGGGGTGTTATAGCCTGGTCGAGGAGCACCCTTAGTACTCAGGACCGGCTGCCGGCTCTGAGTCAGCCTTGTAAGCAGGCTTCCTAAAGAGCAGCCCTACTTTGCTAACTTTCTTACATCGTTCTTTCAGTGCCCCCAGGATGCCACCCACAGCTGCCAGGTGAAAGCTTTAGTGTAGAGAAAATGTCCCAACTCTTCTGTGTGAGACAACTAACTGGGTTGTTGGGGGGTTTGAGAACAATGGCCAGCTTGCATCTCCGCACCTGCTTAGATGCTCCTGTTTTTTTTAACTGTGAGATGCCATAGTATGAGATCTGGGAACTTTCAATCTTGAATCCCAATTACAAAGGATTAAAGATTTGTATAGATTTTAGAGTTCTAAATCTGTTTTCTTCCCTGTCTTTCTCCCTTCCCAGATAAATGGTTTAATGAATTTTAATAGGCCCAAAGCCCTGAGGCAATTAAGAGTTGGATGGTAGGATCTTTGCATTCGAGTTTGTAGGTTACTAGGGAGACTGACTATTAATGTGAGGTAGAAGGAAATACACAGGTAGAGATGTAAGCAGAATGCTGTGGGAGCATAGGAAGAGAAGGAGCAAATGCTTTGTTGAGGACCTCACAGGAAAGGTAGTGTTGGGGCTGGGCCTTGAGTTACGCATGCAGCTAGCATAGAGTGAAAAGCAGTACTGTGGAGATGGCTCAGAAGGTAAAGTACTTGCCACATGAATGTGAGGACTTAAGTTTGGAACCTGCGAACTCATGTAAAGCTGGGTGGGTAGCTCCTACATCGAGATGGGGGCAGAGATGGGAGAATCCCTTGACGCTCATGGGCCAGCTAGCCTGGTGTGTACAACAGGGTATAAGAGACCGTCTCAAACAAGAGAGAAGGTAAGGACAGCACTTAAGGTTGTGTTTTGATCTCTGTGTGTGCATCATGGCATGTGTGCCTGCGCACACAGACTCACTTACAGACACACTTAGAGACACATGCACACACACACATGTTCCAGAAGATGAGAAGCAGGGGAGGGAGTGAGAAAACACAAAACCCAGTATGTAGAGGGTAGAGAGTCTTCAAGCAAGCCTGGGAGACGTTGTGACTCAGTATTCTCCTTTCCTGTAGGTGAAGGGACAGGGCAGGGAAAACTCAGCCCTCTCTAACAGCAGCTAGATCACAGCCCAGCTTCTCGGCATTATCTCTGGTGTTGTGCTGACCTCCACCGCACAGAAGTAGTTCACACTGGTGTGTGTGTATGTGTGCATTTGATTACACAATTATCACATAGATGGATGCTGTTGTAAAAAGTAGTTTCAATGCATAAGTAGAATAAGAAATGGAAGTCACTTCACTGTACTAACCCTCCTACTACCCCAGTACCTACAGCTGACCTGGTGACCAGTTCTGTGAAGATCCCTTTAGACTGTTTTCTGTACCCTGTTTTCTACTATACAAAGATTCAGCCAATACAAATTTGAGTTTATATAACAGGAAATGTTTTCCTGTTAGTGTCTGTCTGCCTTTTGTTTTTGGCTGGTATACAGTATTTCATGGTTAGGAAATCCTACAATGTACTTAGTTATTTTTGTATTGATGGACTTTAGGTTATTTTAAGTTTTTACAATTTTATTTTATTTCATGTATATGAGTGTTTTGCCTGCATGTTTGTCTGTGTATCACATGTGTGCCTGGTACCCACGGAGGTTAGAAGAGGGTGTTAGATCCCCTGGGACTGGAATTACAGGTGGTTGTGAACTACCATGTTGGAGCTGGGAATTGAACCTGGGTCCTCTGGAAGAGCAGTCAGTGCTCTTAACTGCTGAACCATCTCTAGCAGTTTAGATCATTTTAAACATTGACTTTTATAAGCAGTGCTGGATAGATTTCCTTGTGTATATATATACCTTTGTGCTTGCATATTTCTATAGGAATTCCTAGACATTGAATGCCCAGACTGAAGGGCATGCAACTGGAATCCTTGAAAACTACTCTGAGCTACTTGTTCTGACCCTTCCTTTTCCCTTCAGCTGCTTCTCCTTCCCCAGTTCTCACGGTAGACATGGCCACTCTTTAAGACCTGTGCTGTTTGCTTTCTTGTTTCTCCATGTTGGGCTCTCGCAGTTGGGTGTAGATTGTGTCTTGTTTGTTCCTGTGGCATTGCTGGGGCGTCTGCTGGGCTGCAGGTGCTCAGTAAACACGAGAGCTCCTGTGCAGTCCTTGGCATCTTACTGTATCCCTATGGTCTGAAAGCCAAGGACCCCTCAGGAGGAAGCTGTGCTGCAGGTTGATAACACTGAAAATGTGAGATCTGATTTGTGCCCTGGAATGGCGGCATTGCCTTTGTGCCCTAGGCAGCCACTGGGCTGCATTGGAGAGTGGTGAAGTCATGGCATCTGTGGCTGCTGGCCTCTCATTAGGTACCACTGCTCTCTTGTGGGGCCATTGATAAGCTGCTTTTCAGAAAGAGGTTTATGTTCTTTAAACAGTGTTTGCCATTCGGGGAAAAAAAGTTTATGTGCTATTTTAGTTTAAATTTTGAACATATAAAAATGGAAATTACCATAAAGAACTTTTTGTTGTGTCAAAAAGCAGTTAGGAAACTCTCTTGTGCTTTAATCCCGAGTTCCTGAATTCTTGCTGGCATGATGTCTTCCATAATTCTCCAGATCAGCGAGGGGCAATTAAGATGGAAATTGCTCCTGTGTATGTGAATGAGACTTTGCAGTTGAGATTTATCTTCCTGTACGTGTGAGTGTCGTTTTGATCACAGCCTCCCCAGGGCTGTTCTTATTTGTCTGGGGTTCAGAGTCAGCCGGCAGACCGCCTTCCACCTGCAGCCGCCTCTTGGTGCTGTCACCTCTGTTCCAAACATCACACTGAGTGTGCCGCTTCTGTAGTAGGCCTTTAGCTCTTTACATTTTCACAGGGACGGAATCGTTTAGTGTAGTGATTCACAGCCTTTTCTTAAGAAATTGTAGCGACCACCAGGACATGCAAGTGTGTAACTTGCCATCAAGATAATGATCTAGGCGTTGGGGAGACAGCTCACTGGGTAAGAGCACTTGTGTGCCAGCACAGGGGCCTGAGTGCTGATTGCTAGCACCCCTGTGAAAGGCCTGCACATGTGCCTGTAGCACCAGCACTTCCGGAGGTGGATCCAGGAGGATCACTGGAGATTGAGGCCCCCAGCCTAGCTCTACAGTTTGTGAGACCGTCAAGGGAATTAGATGGAGAACGACAGATCAGGACACCTGATATGCTCCTCTGGCCTCTGTGTATGCACACAGGTATGAGGTGTGCACAGTAGCACACACACTTGCATACGCCATAGACATCACACACACACACACAACACACACACACACACCCCGGATGATATCCCTTGTTGTGTGGACCTTGGGAAAACTCCATGGTGTGAACTCTGGTGAAAGAAGTGTGAAAAGGGCTGATAGTACCTTAGAGTGAGGAAAATTTTCATCTCTTTCCCCCAGGGAGCTCCCACTGTTTCAGCCACATCAGGGGACCACCCCTTGAGAACAGCTGTTTTAATTGGGTTGGAAGTATCATCTGCAGTGATGGCTGCTAGTATGACTGCATCTAAGACTCGCTCGGTTTTGTAGTCCTGTGTTTTTGAACACTGGGGTCATTGGTTAATATTCACTCTCGTGGTTGAGGGAGAACATCTTGCTTGTCTGAAGCAAATGAGCAAGGGCAGACTAGGAGAACATTTTCTGTCCTGTCAGATGGAGTCCATGACCCCATCTCTGCCTGGTTACTGTTTTAATATGTTGCTCTATTGCTTTCCCATCGCCTCTCACCCGACCCTTCCCCTGGCTGTGAGTCATGTGTTGCTGAAGCTGTGCTGGCTCCCTGAAGACAGCCTTCTGCAAATAGTAGTGTGTGCTTTAAGTGAGTGGGCTGTACATGGTCAGCAGAAACAGAAGAGAATTGTCTTTTTGATAACATAACAGACTCAAGGCAGCTGCTGTGAGCCAGCAATATTATTAGGCACTTTATATGTATTGTTTCTTTAAATCCTCACTATCCTTCAACCAGGAAGATAAGGAAATCAAGATTTAGAAATTAGTAGTTAACGTTCTGTCTTTGACCACACTGGGTGTTCCAGTGGTGCCTCTTGGGCAGCATTGGACATCCGTACACTTACTAGTGTGTAATGGGTGGCTTACATTCATGGTAGGCTGAGAGCTCTGAGACACTGGGCTGATACTTTGTCTGTTACAGTCTTCTCTGTACCTAGGCCAATGACTGGCACCTGTATAGGTTTGGTGAATGCTTGTTGGCACACAGCTCATGGTCACACCCACGTAGTCCTTCCTGAGTCCAAGTATTTCTCATTATGTCTCATTACCCATGTAGCACTGCGCCTAGTAGGACTTTTGTGATGTACTTACAGTTTGCTTTTCTGCTGTTTGTTTTCCTTGAATCATGTTCTGACCTTCTAAATCTTACATTTCAAAGAATTGCGAAGTTGGACAGAGGAACAATCTGCTACTCCTGTTGTCTAAGCCTTGGCTGTTCTGTCTCCTTGTTGGTTTCTGTATTCAGTACTAAGGTTGGGCCCTGGGACGCTGTACCCAGTTGGCAAGCTGTCCACTACTGGGTTATGCCCCAGCTTTTGGTTTTTCAGACAAGGCCTCCAAGTGTGGCTGAGGCTGCTCTTGAACTCTCTATGTAGCCACGGTGGTCTTGAACTTGTGATCATCCTGGGCTGGGATTGCAGGTACCTACCAACACATCTAGTGGGGTATTTTATTTTATTTTTGAGGCAAAGTCTAACTATGCAGCCCTGGCTGACCTGGAACTCACTATGTACATCAAACTGGTCTTGAACTCCCCAAGATCCATCTGCCTCTTCTCTCAAGTGTTGAGATTAACAGGTCTGTGTCATCGTACTGGATTGGTGTTTATTCTTTAATCTTTCCCAGTGACAAAGATCTAACTTGGCAAAGAAATCTATTCCATCTCTTGGTAATTCTGATTCTTAAGATTCCTAAGAATAAAAAAGAATTTCATTAGATTCTCTCATGTGGAAGGGTATATGTCTTCTTGAAGTCTTGGTTACTTCCCAGAATCAGTTTCTCTGTCCCCCGAAGTACAGCTCTGAAACAGATGTCACAAAGCTCTAGGGTCATCCAGTCAGCATGAGGACTTTACCCTGTCTTCTTTTAAGCAGACTCAAGTCACAGTCATACTTGTAGCGGGCAGCGCCTGTCTTTGTTCTTCCCTCTGACGGGCACTGTGGTAGTTTCTGTGGTCACAGTGAGTGAGGCAGGTGCTGGAGAGCAGAGGTGAGCAGGAAGTAGTTTGCCCTGGAGGAGCCTTCTCATGATCTGCATTGGGTCATCAAGCCCCCTCTGCACTTCTTGCTCTTTTGAGACTACCTGGCCTACCCCACACATTGATACCTGACGTCAGTGCAATTTTCGTTTCCTTTTGCGGTGCTGGGTATTGAATCTAGGGCCTTCTGTATGCCAGGCAAGTGATCTGCCCCAGATTTACCCTCCCAGCCTTGCACAAGCCCTCCAGATCCATAATTCTGAATGGTCTAAAAACATGATCTATTTACAAGCACAGAAGAAGGATCCTTTAAAAGGTGATATTGGAAAATCTTGATTAAAAATAATTATAGAACTTGCTTTGAATATTAAGCAGGTAAGAGAAGGCAAGAAAACTTAACTGGAAAAGAATGACAAGGTATGTTTTATAACAGCAGATGAAAGCAGCAGCAGTGTGGGAATGTGGAGGCTCCAGAGTTTGTAAACAGATCAGTGAGACAGAGTGGAAAGCTGGAAACAGATAGCAGTGTGCATCATAGGTTAGTGTGTCGTAGATAACACTTCTTCAGATGGGAGGGGAAGGGTAGGTGATGGAGTTGTGGCAGCCGACCTGGCCCTGTAGCATGTGAAAACAGATTTCATAAGACATAACGCATCTGATCTTCCCATAGAAAAACTTCACTCATATACATGTGAAATAGAGTTGGCAAAGACAAAGGTGTGACTACCTGAGGTTTTGAAACTTTTATTTTGATAAATAATTAAAAATAATGACCACTATGTCCAAAAAGTATAGCATATAAATTAAGAGATATAGAGGGCATTTTATAAATTAGGAGATAGGATGAGACCCTGGTTTAAACATGGGTAAAGGATAAATGGAAATAGTAAACAGAAAAATGTTAGTCGTTTTTAAAATCAGAAATGCAGAATGTTTGAAGAACCTTCTTTGCTGTCTTGCACTGGAGCCAGTTTTAAGTAGCTACTACTGCTTGGGAAGGGGGAGAGAAAACAGCCCTTGAAACATGGTTGTTAGCTTTCTGACAGACTTTATCAGAATCTGTGAAGTCATGCACGCTCCTGGACTTGGCGCTTTCTTTCCTGGGAATTTACCCCACACAGTGATTGTGAATGCACACAGACAGCTACATGCCATTTGTTACAGGGGGAAACTGGAAACTATCTGAGTGTCTAAGAGAGGGGAATTCTTTAAATAAATTACAGTACACCAACACGAGCGAGTTTACTATGCAGCTGTTTAAAATTGATGATTTTCCACGGGAATTTCAGATAAACAGTCTCCCACGCACTCTGATTGATTGGCAGTCTTTTCTTGGAGCACTATCTCAAGAAGGACTTGGAAGCCAGGGCCAGGCTCGGCACCAGGGAGAGTGGTGCAGTCAGTGAGGGCCTTCTTGGGAGAAGGAGAGCGAGCAACCAGTAGCAGCACTTTGTCAGGAATTGGTTCTTCCTGTTGTAAAGAATGTTTAGCTGATATTAACAGCAGCAGTGAAATTGAGCAAAGACCACAGAGATTTGCTTTGTGGGTGAAAGGCTAAGAATTGAGAAAAATGACCAAACATACTGGAATATCATCAGTGGTTATTTCTGGCTCAGAGGATTATGGATGACTTTTGTATACTTTTAAATAGCTTGCCTTTCTTTTCTCAGTTCTCTGTGAAAAGTAATATTTTATAATTATAAAATATATATGTAAGTGTTTAAAAATAATGGCAGGAAAAATAATGGCAAGGGGTATTAAATATGAGTATTTTAATAAATATATTCTCTAGATTTTGCTCTTTATGGATTCTTGATTCCAATATCTGCTTAGCCTTCAGCTTCTAGAAGATGAGAATCCTTTGTGACTTCCACAGGCCCTGCTTATGTCCCCCCTCCCTCCTTCCCTTTCTTTCCTTCCTTCCCCCGCCCCTTTTTTGTGGACCCCACTTAGTGAGATGGGCATCTGTGGATATAAGAGACAACAGCTAGAGGTCCTGTCTGATCAAAGCATACATTCCAGAAGAGAACCTGGACTCAGAGTCATGATAGTGGCCCAGCATAGAAGCAGCAAGCTTCCTAGGAGTTGGACTCTGTGCTAAGTGTCCTGTGTGTTTTGACTCTTACTTGACAGCACCCTGTAGGATAGGTACCATTATTATCCCACTTACAGATGAAGAAAGCGACACATAGAGACACCAAGAAAGTGGCTGAGCCAGGTTCAAGCCCAGCCGTTGTGTTCTCTCAGTCACTTTGGTTCGGGAATTGTTCAGTTGCTGCACTTGCATTAGCTCATCTGCTTCTGAGAGCAGACATTCCTGTCTTGTACATCCAGGCACTCCTTAGTCATCAGGCACTGCGGAGGGCGTGCAGAGGGAATGCAAAGTAGCCCTGTTCCCTGTATGTGGACAGAGGTTTGTGAGGAGGTTCAGGGTAGACATGTGAGTGACAGGGGGCAGTGATTGCAGAATGTCAGAGACCAGAGCCGCCTGACCTGTGGCCTGTCTCCTCTCACCAGACGTGGCGTAAAGGAAGAGGGTGGCTGTTGGGGAAGCTGCAGTGTCTCGTTCCCTTCCTTTGTGTGGGTGAGGAGAATAATTGCCTCTTGATCTGAAGGGGAGTAAGAAACCCTCTCTGGATTAGGACATAGTCAGTCCAGGGCCTCCGAGTGAAAGGCACCCCAAGAGGTAATGGTAGCTAATCCATAGGACTGGAGGGCAGATCATTTATTGCTGCAGAATGCTTCGAGGGCCTTAAAAGGCAGCTGTGGCTGTAGGAGTAAGGGGACCCCTGTAATGAGATCTGAATCCAGGATTGATTTTTGTAATGAGGAAATCGATTTCCCGAGGAAATTGTGTGACAGTGTGATGTCTGGATGAGTGTACTTCTTGGTTGGTCTGTTGTAGACATTTTGACAGATTGCGTCAGTCTAGATGTGCTTCTATTTGCTCTCACATGCAAGAGTCCCCCTTGCCTTTCAGTGACCCTGTCCTGTTCTCCCTCCTAGGTTCATGGAATCTGAGCTGGACCTCAATGACATCATTCAGGAGATGCACGTGGTGGCCACTATGCCGGACCTGTACCACCTTCTCGTGGAGCTGAGTGCTGTGCAGTCACTGCTCGGCTTGCTGGGACATGATAATACAGATATCCTTCAGATCTGTGCGGGCGGAAGGCTGACACGGGAAGAGCTGTTTCTCTCCGCCTGCCTGTCTGCTGAGGGGTGCTGTCACGTCTGCTAGTCTGTTTCCATTCCGATTCTCTCCCATCCTGAAATACACACTGCTCTTTACTCATCTCAAAATCTGAACTTTATCTCTTAACATGCCTTGAGTAGGTCCCTAATTGACCTGGTCTCTGTTAGTACTAGAATATACCATTCTTACACCAACAGCATTAATTTCCCAGATCAGAATTTGGAAGCTCCTTATTGAGGCAAGACCAGACAGATTTGAATGTGTTGATGTAGACATCATTCTACTAGCAGATGGCTCTGTGGATTGAGGCTGGAGGAGGCAGTGAACCATGGCAGAATGCTTGTCAGGATGTCCAGAGGATAGGGAAGCTTGTCTGTTTTGTCCACTACTATTTTCTAGTTCCTTAAAAAAGACTGGGTATTGATGCCCAGTAAATAGTATTTCCTATTTGTTGAATGAGCAGTAGACCTAAACAGACAAGGTGAGCCTTGATTCCTGGCCTCATTTTCTGTAAAATTGGGTATGTTCACCTGCAGTGCTAGAGTTGACAACCTTGTCCCTTAGTGTTATTGAGGAAATCAGAGACCCTAACTTGTCACACATAGCTCCTGGCGCCCAGTAGGCACTTCATAATGTTCTGTGTCACGAAATCTGTGTCCTGACTTCCAAACCATGTCATGCTTGGTCTCCGCTGTCATGTGCAGTCACTGCAATGTAGGTGTCTATGTGCTGTGCATGGGGTTGTATTCGTTATACAGATTCCAGCTCTGTTTGAATCCTTCAGGTTTCTGAAGGTAAGAGACAATGGAGTGAGTCTGCCTGAGTGCCGGTCACAGGAAATCTGCCTCTGCGCGTGTTATTTTCATCTTTCTGGTAATCTCTCTCCTGAGAGCATGTCTGACTAGGCTCTTTCCTGACTGATAATTCTCACAGAAATAAATCAGTGAATAATTTTAATGTGGCTTCTTGAAGGGCAAACTTAAGCTATTTCTGTTGCTCTGTAGACTGTTATTGTTAAGAATGGCTCAGCCCAGTCCTGGATTGATGACTGCTAAGGTTTGCTGTGGGGTTCTGGGTCAGCTGGTTTCTGAGTGAGCTTTCCCCCAAGTTCGTTCAGAGGCACATCTGAGTGCCTGTTAGGTGTTGAGCTCAGGGTTGGGCCCTCAGCACCGTCTGCCATGCAGGTGCTTAGGTAGCGTTAGCCCACAAACATGCCACGGGCATGGTCGTAGGCAACTTGGGCTGTGCTTACAAAGTACCATAAACCAAGTGGCTCACAAATGACTGAAAAAATGGTTTCCTAGAGTTCTGGTGTTGGACAGTCCAACAAGGCTCTGGCAATTTTGGTGTCTGGTAATTTGGGTTCCTGGTTCCAGGTAGCCATTTCTTGCTGTGTCCTCTTGTGGTAAGAGGGTAAAAAGCTTGCTGAGTCTCTTTATGAGGACACTGATCTTCCCTAGGAGGCCTCTGGCCTCTTTACTTCTCAAAGTCCCTGCCTCCAAGTGTCATCACACTGGAAATTAGGTTTCAATGTAGAACTTTGCGGGGCAGGGATATAAGCATTTGTTCTGTCTGTAACAGGTTACCTGATCCAAGACTGGCCTACTCAAGGGGAGACTCAGTGACTGACGTTCTAGCTGTAATTTCACCTCGTGGTTTACATATTGAAGAATAAATTTCAGAGTCCCACCAGACTTAGCCTCCTGCTCTGTCTGATTCATTTGTCATTTGTTATTGTTTTTACTTGTGTGTGTGTGGTGGGGACAGGGCATGGGCATGTGTGGAGGTCAGAAGACAACCTCAGGGGGAGTCCTCAGGAACCTTCCACCATTAGTTTGAGAAAGGGTCTCTCATTGGCCTAACTTCACCTTACAGGCCAGGCTAGGTAGCCTGCAAGCTTTCAGGGCTCTGCTCCCTTCACCTTCACATTGTTAGGATTGCAGGTGTACCCCACTGCACCCAGTTTTTTAGTGTGGGTTCTGGAGATTGAACTCTGGTGTTGATGCTCGCAAGGCAGCTGACGAGCCAGCTGTTGGACAGCTGACTGGTGGTCAAGGCTGGCACTGCCTGTCCCTGGCCCCTGCATTCCCTGTAGCATGCCTACCTGCTGTCTCCGCAGTGGGATTCACTGTGCCTGTAACGGAGTTGCTTAGTCATCTGTCACTCTGTGTGTGAAGGCAGACATTGCCTGTTTGGTTTCTGGAACCGGTGGCCCTCCTTCTTTCTTCTCTTCCTGCTAATTCAAACAATAGCAGCAGCGCTGCAAGCCGCTGACATTTCTGACTCACTGGCCCGTCCTGCTGGGGAGAAGACTGACATGAGCCGTGCTGCTCAACATCCACGTTCTTGGGAAAGGCAAGGGCACAGATGTTCACGTTGGTGCGTTCTGGTCTTTAAAAGGGAAAAACCATATCTCCCTGTAATGTCTTTGACAGACTGCCATTTCCCTCCTGTTTCCCCAGAGCCGAGCCATTCCCCCCGCCTCCTTTCTGCCAGCCCTCACCCAACTGCCCTAATGATATTTTTTAAAATCTGATTTTTAATTATGCCCTACATCACATTTAAAGTGCATTTGAAATATTTTTAATTACCTTAATTTTAATTAGATGCAGCAATTAGGGTAAATGTCATCCTCTTCAAAGTACAAGTTTTCTTGAAAGTGATTTTGGGAAAGGGGAGCCCTCCCAACTTGCAGCTAACATACCAGCTGCATCAGAGGGTGATCTCCCCCAATGCCACACCCGATTCTTGTCTTATCTGATCTGTGATCTATAATGGAAATTCCTCAGGAAACGGTTGTTAACAATTTACTGTTGTACAGCTGTAACTGCCCGCAACACCTTACCATGAATAAACAATTTCATGGCTGTCATGACTTCAATTTTTAATCTTTTTTTAACTCTTCATTTATCACCCAGGACCATACATGGCTGGTTGTGTTCCCAGCAAGCACAGGTCATCTTTGCTTTGTCCTTCTCAGAGGAAACATAAATGATGGGGATTTTAATTGGATCTGAGTCTGGTTTGTTGTAACCTTAAGAGGCAGCGGATGTGAGGCAACAGCTTGTGCCTCGTCCTTCAGTCCTTTCAAGCGTGAGAAGCCGCTGCAGAGTTGATCCCGGCTTTCTGCACCACTGCCGCTGGTGAGGACTTGTCAGCTGTCTGCGCTGTCCCCCCAGAGGCTGGAGCCCTGCCTCGGAGGGGGACTGGCTGCAGTGTGGGACTCCGGTCTGTGAGGAGAGAGGGCAGGGACCCACCTTATAGGGCATGAAGGGTTTCTTTAAATGTGTTTAGAGGAAGCATGAAGTGGAACCAAACAGCTGCTGCCCTCTCAAAATATTGCATTTTAAAATAATTTCTTGTAACATAAATTATTTGAACATGTTCAGAGTACTGACACCCCCCCCCCCCATCCTGTCCCCGAACCTCATTTGGAGACTTACTACAGAAAATAAAGCCAAAAGTGTGAAAGATAGTCTTCGCTGGTATTGCCAAACAACAGTTTGGTTATGACCTAGTGTAAGCCAGGTTTAAGAGAAAAAAAACAAGGAAAAAGTAAAATAGTAAAATCATAGATGGTAGCTGGTCATCCCCTTTTGCTACAATTAAAAAAAAAATCACCGTAGCATCAGATTAGTAAGCCTCCTGTTCTTGTGCCGTTTGCCACGTTCTCGATTGAGTGGCCAGTCAGTGTGGCCTCGCCGAAATAGATTTGGCTCCTCCCGGTTCTGCGATGTGTGATAAGCACATTGTATTCACTAGGAAGCAAGAGACAGTGTGGCAAAGCACCCAGATTACTGCCTGGTGAAGGTGGGGAGGTGCCCTTGGTGCCATATGCTTGGAAAATGCCCTCGGAACTCTGGAGGGGAGCGTGATCCCTGGCTTGGGGCTGGTCGGGAACTGGGGCTTACAGACTGGACGCCTCGGATGGGATGAGGGCGTTTCCGGTATGTTTCAGTGGTTCCTATCTGGACAGTGGAAGCTGCTGTTCTTCCCATGCTGCAGGCCTGTGGTCACCACAGATGTGTCGGGATAGCAGGGCCATAGATTTCCTTATTTAGGAAGAAGGAAGGGAGGTAACTGCCTGCTGCTCTGCAGTGAAGTGCCCTGTCCTTTAATAAAAAGGCTCAGGCCATCTAAACTGAATTCATTTCTTCTGCCACCTCCCCTGCTCCTATGATTCAGGAAAAAAGAAATCTCATTGTGACGGTAACTGGATGTGCAGGAAGGGAAAAACTTGTTAGTGGTTCCCTGGTGGCAATGGGGCAGCTCCTTTTTGTGTGGCCAGCTTTAGGGAAGGACACCTAACGTTTGTTTTCTAAATTAGTGTTTGCTCAGACTTTAGCAAGCCAGAGAACTTGTGGGGTTGTCCTTGCTGTTTATGAAGAGTTACTGTGGGAATTTGGAAAAGGAGCAGACATGTTTCTTTTTCTTAGACCAACAGGGATCAATTGAACTTGAGCAGTTCGGTCTGGGAATGCTAAAGTGGAACCAACTGACTGAGACACCATATTATCCCAGAGGGTGTGCACTGTAGTCTAGGGGGCCTTGTGTTATAGACCCAGCATTAATGAGCAAGAATGGGGCTGGGAAGGTTTGAGCTGCCAAGGGGCTCTTTTCTAATTGGACTGGGAGGGAGCTGGTTCCTGCTCCGCTGCTCTCCTGCAAGCCCTGTCTAACAAGATGTGCGCGTCCTGAACTGCTGTTTTCCCAGGAGCTAGTCTCATTCTGATATTTCCAGACTCAAAACTGCAACAGGAAGAACTGACTTATTTTCTGCGTGTGTCATCTGACTTCCAAGATAATGCCTACTGATAAGTCACTCTTGTTTCTGGAGTCAGTTAGTATGTTCTGAAGAACATGTTTAGATTAGGCTTAAAAATAAAGAGCTAGAATGGCAATTTAGGTAAATAGAGCCCTCTTAATTAAACTTTTGATCTTGTTTCTAGC